AGCAAGGGGGACACTCCTCCACTGTTGGTGGGAATGCAAACTTGTACAGCCACTTTGGAAAGCAGTATGGCAGTTTCTCAGAAAATTGAGAATCAATTTTCCTCAAGACCCAGCTATACCACTCTTGGACATATACCCAAGGAATACTCAATACACAAGGACACATGCTCAATTATGTTCATAGCAGCATTATTTGTAATAGCCAGAACCTGGAAAAACCTAGATGCCCCACAACTGAAGAATGGATAAATAAAATGTGGTATATATACACAGTGGAGTACTACCCAGCATAGAAAAACAAAGACATCACGAGGTTTGCACGTAAATGGATGGAACTAGAAAATATTCTGAGTGAGGTAACCCATACTCAGGACAAACATGGAATGTACTCACTCATAAGTGGACACTAGATATAAAGCAAAGGATAACGAGACTGCAACCCACAACTCTAGGGAGGCTAGCTAGTAAGGAGGATCCTAGGAAGGACACATGGATTGCCTAATGATGGAGAAATGGATGAGATCTACATGAGCAAACTGGGGGTGAGAGGGGGAGGTAATGGAGGTCAAGAGACAGAGTATGAGAGCTTAGAGGAGTGGGAGGTTTGAGCTGGAACGGGAACAGAGTGGGAGAGCAAGGAAAGAGATACCATGATAAATGAAGACACCATGGGAATAGGGAGAATTGGAGTGCTAGGGAGGTTCCTAGGAATCCACAAGGATGACTCTACCATAAACTACTGGTAGTTGAGAGGGTATGTAAAATGAATAGAAAATCTCTTAATAAATTTTTTAAACCATTTTATTTTTTTTAAATGTCTACAGGCAAAAAAATGGGAAGGCCAGAGTTTCCAAGGATGATATGATCTACTTATCATTGGAGACAGTAACCAAAAGTCTGGAATGAGTTTTTTCCAACCGTTTTTTATCTCTTGCAAAAGATAATCCTTTATCCTTTCAATCAGACCCTAAAGAAGATTCTGACTTCTTATCACAAGCCCTCAAGGCAGCAGAGCTAAAATTACCCATAAGAGAAGATGCACTGGATCTTCAAATCTCTCTCTCTCTCTCTCTCTCTCTCTCTCTCTCTCTCTCTCTCTGTGTGTGTGTGTGTGTGTGCCTGTGTGTGTGTGCTGTTTGTTGGAAAATAGCCTCAGGTCATGAAGAATTGAGCCAGACTGTATTGGACAATAGCCTTAAGCCACAGAGAATTGCTAAGCCTCAGCATGACTTTTCTAAGCACCTGTAGAAACAATATGGCCTGGTAGCAAAATCAACTCACCTGGCTCCCAGTCAAGGCACAAAATCAGGAGGTTACATATATTTCCCTGATATATATACATATATGTATGTGTACACAAATATATATGTATATATGTCAGCGCAAAACTTGTTCTCACCTCAAGGGAATTGAGTGATATTCTGGAGCCAACTATGCATGACTCTGGCCTGGGATCACAGATTCAGGTTTCCCCAAGTTCTGAGTTAATTTGCTACATGAGATTTTTATAAGTTATAGAATAAAGAAAATTATAAGTCAGAATGTTACCAAACACATTGGTGGGGCATCTGTATTGTGTTATGGTAAAGCAGGGAAAGCTACTATAGGTTTCAGATGCTACCCGAAAACATCATTAGGCTTGAATTGGTGAAAGCTGTGGTTTACTAATGGTAAATCTAAGGTTAAAATACAAGTATTTTAATTGACTCATAAGTCAGACACATTGTGGGCAATGGACTAATAATAACACAAGGTAATTTGGCTCTAGTTTACAGCATTTTAACTCTCCTCAGTCTTGAAGTCCAGTCATTTATTAGATCCTATAGAATCTTTAACAGATGCAGCTTGTATCTTTTTTTTTTCTTTTTCCACCCCTTCCAGGACATAGTCTTAAACTCATGACAATCCTCCTACCTCACTTCTCTAGTGCAAGGGGTGGAGGATCACAGGCATGTACAGGCATGTAATTGGTCTACCTAGAAGGACTAAATACACATTGGTGCTCCTCTTTTGACTATCAAACTATAGAAGCATTGGGCTCCAAGAAATTAAAATTAACCAGGAATCCCTTGTTAGGAGGAGCCCTGGAAGCTGCCAGAGGAGGAACTTGTCTCCTGGATACTTACAACTTGTCAAAGGGCTGGCAGGAAGCTCAGGCTGAGATGGTGATGGGCATGACCATACTTTGGCCAAACTGGTTAGTGATATTGATCACATTTCATATTTAAACCTACCGCCATATCAGAACCTCAAAGTTGTACTAGTTACAGGCTTTGGGATCACAGCCTGTACCTTAGAAAGCCAGATTCAGGTACCCCCAATAAATGAATTAAAGAAGCCAAAATAATAGTGAAATACAGAAAAAAGGAAATATATTCCCTGTGGCTACATTGGGAATAAAGACAAGGAGTTACAGGTTTTCAATTTGAGAGGGGATAAAGTACAAAAAAGTAGTAAAATATTGGGCATGGAGACATAACTTGGCAATTAGAGTGCTTGTTTCACAATTATGATGACCAGAGTTTGAATCTGAGCACCCATATAACAAGCTGGGCATCCTGTATGTGCACACCTGTAATCCCAGTTTCAAGGAGTTGTCAGGGTTTGCCAGCTTCCAGTGAGCCCCAGGTTCAGTGAGAGACCTTATCTCAGGGAATTGGGAGACAATGATACAGGAGAACTCTCAGTATTCTCTTCTGGCCTCCACATGCATGCACAGCTGTCCACACCTACACATTTATGTGGACATTCACTTAGACACATAATTTTTTTTACATTTATTTGTGTATGCATATGCATGTGCACTCCATGTGGAGGTCAGAGGACACTTGTGGGAGTCTGTTCTCTCAGGTGCCTTTACCCACTAAGCCATAATAAATAAATCTTTTAAAAAGAAAATATTGAACCACTGTGTTATTAATGCAGTATAACCTGACTCAGCTTATTAGTGTCTTGTTTTTGTCATTCTCCCACTCCTTTTTAAAAGACAGTATCTGAGTGGCACTATTAGAAGGTGGTGTGGCTTGGGGAGTAGGTGTGGTCTTGGAGGAAATATGTCACTATGGGGGTAGGCTTTGAGGTCTCTTTTGTGAATTCAGTGTGAACCAGAGACTACTTCCTGTTGCCTGCAAAATATAGGACTTGGCTCCTTCTCCAGCACCATGTCTGCCTACACACTGCCATACTCCCAGCTATCATGCTCCCCACCATGATGATAATGGACTGAACCTCTGAAACTGTAAACTGCCACTTCAATGAAATGTTTTCCTTTATAAGAGTTGCCATGGCCATGGTCTCACTTCACAGCAATAGAAAACCCCACCTAAGTATCTCTTTTACTTCAGGTTGGCCATAGGCTAGCCTTAAATTTCTGATTCTCTTGCCTCTACTTGCCCAAAAGTGCTGGGATTTCAGACATGTGCTACCACAAAGGGCCCTCATCCTATTCTTGACTTTAATGGGTTGGCTCTGCTAACTATTGACAAAAGTTTAATAAGGTTCAAAGAAGTTCCCTTTTGGTTTCTGATTTGATAAGATTTTTTTTTTTTTTTTTTTTTTTTTTTTTTTTTTTTTTTTTTTTTTTTTTTTAGCATAAGTGACTTCATGCTTCTTCTACACTCCTACCGTCATTCTATATTAGTCAAGAAGGTAGGGTGTTTGGGGGCATAGTGACCCACACGTTTAATCCTCTCCAGAGTACTCCAGAGGCAGGAAGATCTCTGTGAGTTTGAGGCTGATCTAGTCTATATAGTTTCAGGCCAGCAGGGCTTACAGAGTGAGACCCTGTTTCAAAAAAAACAGAAGCAGCAATAATAAAAGAAGATTGGCCTAAAAATGAGGCAGACTAAAGTCTCATGCACTTGCCAAGTTTATTCAGAACATAAGATAATTTATACCCCAAGGGTTAAGAAGAGTCATCTGGGTCCAGAATACAATCTCAAGAACAAGCCACATATGGGAAAATGTTTTTCCATAGAGGGATCTGAACAACAACGGAAGTAAATTCATTCCTATCCATTACACATGGAAGGAGCATGAAAATGCATTCCAAAAACAATTCTGTGTTTGTTTGTTTCAGTTTTTCAAGACAGGGTTTCTCTGTGTGACAGCCCTAGCTGTCCTGGAACACACTTTGTAGACCAGGCTGGCAAACTCACAGAGATGCGCCTGCCTCTGCCTCCTGAGTGCTGGGACTAAAGGTGTATACTACCACACCTGGCCAATTCTGTGGTTTTAAGAAAATAAGGATACAAGACTCCTATTTCTAGGAGTTTTCTCATAAGCATTCAGTATGCTCACTTGACTCCATTCTTGTATTGTTTTCCAACAGTTGGGTATTTTGTGCTTTCTTTTTTGGTAATACTAAGGATTGAGCAAAGAGCCTCATCATGCTAGGCAAAGTGCTCTACCACTGAACTCGATCTCCAGACCTTTTTAATTTCTATACAACAGCCTCATTAAGTTTCCCAGGCTAGACTTTGAACTCACTCTGCAACCCAGGTAGAACTTTTTGTTTCCTTTCCTTTTCTTTTTTCTTTCTTTCTTTCTTTCTTTCTTTCTTTCTTTCTTTCTTTCTTTCTTTCTTTCTTTCTTTCTTTCTTTCTTTCTTTCTTCCTTCCTTCCTTCCTTCCTTCCTTCCTTCCTTCCTTCTTTCTTTTCTTTCTTTGTGTATAAGTCTTGGTGTGTGTGTCATGGTGTTCATGTAGAGATCACAAAACAGCATTTGTGGAATTAGTTCTCCTTTTACCTTTACATGGGTTCCAGGGATCGAACTCGGTTTACTTAACAGATTTTAACTATGTAAAGATGTGTAACTTTTGTTTATGCTGCATTTAATTATATAAAGATGTGGTGCATTTCTTGCTTGCCTAAGGCACCTGATTGATCCAATAAAGAGCTGAATGGCCAATAGCTAGGCAGGAGAAAGGACAGGTGGAGCTAGCAGGTAGACAGAATAACTAGGAGGAGAAATCTACACTCAAAAAGAAGGGGAAGAATGCTTGCTTTGGCAGCACATATACTAAAATTGGAATAATACAGAGAAGATTAGCATGGCCCCTGTGCAAGGATGACATGCAAATTCATGAAGCATTCCATATTTAAAAAGAAGAAGAAGAAGGTGGAGGAGGAGGAGGAGGAGAAGGAGAAGGAGAAAGAGAAGAACTAGAGAAGAAGGATGAGAGAATGAGGGACATGCTGGGGCAAAAAACCAGGCAGACTCCAGATAGCCAGACATAGAGAAGCAGTAAAAGTAAGACTTACAGAAGTAAGAAAGGTAATAAACCCTGAGACAAAAGGTAGATAAAGAGAAACAGGTTAATTTAAAAGAGCTAGCCAGAAATGTGGCTAATTTCACGCATTCAAAACTAATAAGTCTTTTTGTCATGATTTGGGAACTGATTGATGGTCCAAAAGAAAAAGCCTGGTACACTTGCTAATGTGAATATATCGGCAATAAACATGAGTGTGTAAATATCTTTGTAGTAGGCACTTTAGTATATGCCCAGAAGTGATGTTGATGGGCCATATGGTAGTTTTCTAGCTGGATCATTTCTAGTCATCCTTCTTCTCAAGTCATCACTCATAAAACTAGTCTAGGCCACTTCCCCTGTTCTGCTTAACTAAAGCATCCATTATTATATTTTAGAATATTTAGCAAATTATAATAATAGCAACAGGATGAGTGTTTGATTTCTGCCTGTCCCACCAGTCAATGAACTCCATAAATCAACAACCATACAGAAATGGATGATATATAGTATTTTTTAAAAGGGCTGGAGATATGGCTCCATGGTTAATGCTCTTGCAAAGACCTAAGTTCAATTCTCAGCACCCATATCAGGCTTCTCAAAACCACCTGTAACTTCAATTCCAAGGAATCTGATGACTTCTTATATCCTCTGAGGGCACCTGTACATATGTAGTATACTTAAACTCATGCAGGTGCACACACACATACACACACACACACACACACATACACACACACACACACAAGAAATATTGTATGCTAAACTTTAAGGTACTTGGACTTCTAGCATACAAATATATTCACATTTTATTCATAGTCACCAAGCACGTACATGGGGGTTTTTGTTAATAGAAATCAAGGAAAACAACAAGGTTCTGTGTTCATATTGAAATGGTTACAGGAACAGGGACAACAACAACAACAAAAAAGAAACTCCATGGTGAGATAATCATTTGGCCAGGCATGGCAGAAGCAGTGGGATCTCTGTGAGTTTATGGCTAGCCTAGTTAGTATATGTAGACAGTTCTAGGACAGCCATGTCTACAAAAAGAAATTCTGTTTCAGAAAACTAAATAAATAAATAAAATAATAGTCTGGCAAGATTGGGCATAGTGGTGCACACCTTTAATCCCAGCTCTCAGGAGGCAGAGCATAGAGCTGAGAGTGCCCATAAAAATGTTAATCTCCAGGCAGTGCTGGAGAGATGGCTCAGCCAGTAAGAGGGTCTATGTTCAGTTTCTAACATGCAATTCAAGTAGCTCACAACTGCCTGTGACTCCAACTTTAGGGAGATCTGACTCCTTTTTCCTTCAGGGTGCCAGGCCTGCATATAGCACACTTAATATATGCAGGTATTCAATTCACAGATAAACACACAAAATATATATTCTTTTAAAGATTTATTTTTAAATTATGTATTGTGTGTGTGTGTGTATGTGTGTCTGTCTGTCTGTCTGTGTCTGTATGCATGTGTGTGGACATGAATGCAGAGCTCAAGGAGGCCAGAGGAAGGCATCCGATCTTCTGGAATAGAAATTCCAGGAAGTTGTGAGTCTCCTTGTATGGGTGCTGGGACTGAACTTAAGACCTCTGTAAGAGCAAGTTCTCTCAATTGCTGAGCTATCTCTACATTCCTAGAAGTGAATTGTTGGGGACAAATACTGTGTCATTTACTTGATGATCTCAAACTTGGCAGTCAGAAGACAATAGATTGAGTTAATGAATATATAATTCACTCTGGAAAATTGGGGGCTTGTTATATTTCCTTCTCGTAAGTCTGTAGCTGGACTTTCTTGTTGGACTTTTTTTTTTAGACTGCCAGCCCTCAATGACACAGAGAGTTATTATTAATTATAAAAGCTTGGCCTTAGATTAGGCTTGGTCTCAACTAGCTCTCATAACTTAAATTAACCTGTTTCTATTAATCTATGTTCTGCTACATGGCTCTTTAATTCTCCTCTTTATGCCTCTCTCCATGTCTCCCTGGTAAAATCCCTGTACCTAGATTCATCCCCTGAGTTTCTCTCACTGTCTGGAAGTCCTGCCTGTCCTCTTCCTGCCTATCTATTGGCCATTCAGCTCTTTATTAGAACAATCAGAATAAAATAGTAACACATTTTCACACAGTGTGATCAAATATCCCTCAACATAAGTATGTAATTTTCAATATTCTGATTGAAACAAAGAAACAGATTGTAAACAGTAGCATTAAAAGCATCAGATGTGATTTTAAGAGTCTTTTTGGATATTCAAAGTATTCGTGTAGACAATTGTAGATGTAACCAACCGTCTTATTAAATAAGAAACACAGAAACAATGTAAAAGAGAAAGCCGAGAAGTCAGAGCTCAGAGCTAAAATCTCACCCTTCCTCCTGCTGTCCTAGCTTCGCGAAAAGAGACCTACTTCCTGTCGGTTCGTATTTTTAAAGTATGTTGTTCTGCCTTCTCATTGGTTGTAAACC